ATCTGAAGTACCACTTTCTGCTCTTTTTTTAATGTTCATATGAGCAGTTGTCCATAAAGTGCCACCAGAGGTCATGCTGGCATCAATGCTGTCTGTGCAGTTCACTTCCCGACCAGCAGAGGTCAACAGCGTTTAACATTTAAACATCATTGCACTAGGCAGAAAAACATCAGAGATCCTGGAACGGGCGCAATGAGTGGGCCATAGATAACTGCACAAAAACACAGACCACCCATTAGATTATGTTTATAACAAAGCTTTAAAATACCACCCCCCTCTCTCTCTCTCTGTCTCACTGAGTCTCATCCAGCCGTTCTGTAAACATACGCTTCAAAAACGGTGAACATGAACTTAAATCATCCGATTCTAATGAGTCACAGGATGAATCAGATGTTTGGTAATGAAGTTAAATGTAAAAACAGAGGGTTCAGTGGAAAGTCAAATCCCCTTACAAAAGAGTATTGTTTGCAGACCATGGTACAGTGATGGTATTATCAGTAAAACCATGGTAGGCCTATTCATTACTCATACTCAAAGCCACCAAATCACCAAAAGGCATTTTAAGTATAGTAGGGTCTATACTGTAGGGTCTTAATGATTTAAAATATATCCAAGTAGACACTGGTCCAACAGTTTAATTCAAATCCACGGCGATGTTTATGTCCTTATGTTAAATTAATGATGAAAGGGGGCTCCAGTACTCAATCAAAGCAGACCAATCAGAATTGCGAGTAAAAACAGCTGCGCGACAGCTGATTACTTACATTTACGCTGGTGGAATAAGTTAACTGGGGCAGAGGGGATATAGAGATAGAGAGGATTGTACATCCCATGGTAGACAGACTGTCCGGTGAAAAAAAGGAAAGACTTTGAACTAATGACATTGATGTTGTGGGCAGGAATGCCAAGAGCTCAGCTGGGAGAGAGAAAGAGAGAGAGAGAGAGAGAGAGAGAGAGAGAGAGAGAGAGAGAGACACTTACTGAAACAGACAGATCAAATGTAACACCCCTCGTGTTTTACTGCAGGGGAAAAGAGGATCGAAAGCGACAAAGAAAAAGGTTACTAGAGGAGAGGAAAGCCACTGGATACAGAACTGTATTTAAACTGAAAACCATGTGCTTTTTACTTTTACAGGTAAAAGATTTTTGTCTGAATGCTATAACAGACAACATTTACATGTCTAAATTTTTGTTGCATGCCTGCTAGTTCTTTATTCTAGCAGAGTTAGGATAAGTGTGTCCCAACATTGAAACTAACGCAAAAGAGCTTGGATGATGTGCTTATATGCATAGGCAGTGTTGGGGAAAGTTACTATTAAAAGTTACTTTTCTAGTTACTTGAAAAAAGTAATTGATTACGCAACTGACGTTACTTGTAATGCGTTACCCCAAACACTATGCATAGTTAGTAGCATGTAGCATGCTATTTGGCCTATTATTATTAACCACAATCCTTTGCACAGCAGCGGAGGTGGAGCTTGTGACGTTTTTGCTGAAATAATAAGAAAGGTAAAACACTGAAGCTGACACATTTTTAAATGTACAAACCAAAAAATATTAAAGACAATATACTGTATAACTAGATGCTAATGCTAAAGGCCCCGATAGACTTCAAACGAAATGAATTACCTCGTAGCTTGGTTCATGGCTTAAAACGCTTCAGTGAAGACTTTTTTTTAAATCCCTATGGGAGAAATGAATGGGAAAAAAAGTGGGCGGGCACAGTTGCACTCTATTGGTTGAGCCAATGTTGCTGCTGTGTTAGGCTTAGCAGTAAAAGTACATTAAACATTGAAAAAAATACACACTATACCTTTAAGGAGTAGGACTGGAAAGGTCGTAAACCTGACAAACTTCAGCAACATCCAACAGCAACAACCCTGAAAAACAAAGAAGAAGAAATGGTTCAAAGAACGGAACAAAAATGAAAGATCAGCGAGGACACGAAATAAGTCATGGGCAAATATTTAGATTCCGTCGACTGCCTCACATCTGCCTCCATCATGATGACGTCGCTAATTGACTGCTCATCTGTTTGGTTGGAAGAAAAACAGGGAAGATAGAAGATATTTTCCCTCACTGTTTACCTTCGAGGATAAAGCCCGTTTTTCTGTTGCCCTATGCATAGTTTCACTGATTCACTTGTTTACATCTGCAGTTCGCATCGAGTACACTACGTCCAGAAACGCTCTGTTTTGACCACAAAGCTTAAATTTCTGTGGTGTAAAATGTCGTAAATTGGCACACAATGCTCCTGTGTGAGAGTAAAGTGGCATTAGCAGTTCTCTCCTGCCTGCCAATCTGGAATGAGTTAGCCATGTTGTTTTGAGCAAGTTCTGCTTATAATTGAAAAGAAAGGCTGGTTTAGATCAGAATTTTGCTCCAAAGCTTGAAATTAAAAAGATAACAGTGCTATTTAAACTTCTGTTTTTGCTTCTATGTTCTTGAAGGATTTTGAGTGGTTGTTAGCTTAATGCTAAGTGTATTTTATGCTGTTCTGTGTCTGGTTGCTAATGTGTTGGTAAGTGGCTAAAGGATTTTTTTTCTCTCAACGAGCCGCATGATTTGAGGTATTATTAATGTTTGTAGTATGAACAGTGTGGGGTGAAAGATATTTTAGAGAGACTAAAAACAAAAAAAAGTCACTCTTGTGTCTCCATTATTGGTTGCAGCACAGCTGTAGCCTGTAAATCTTAGCGCCTTTGATAGATTCAAATAAACATGGAAAAAAACATGCTTGGATAGATGCTGTATTTTTGCTAAGTCATATTGATAGAGAAATGTTAAACACAAAGCAGAAAGATTTTTTTTGGTGTTTTTTTTTTTTTGTCTTGGTTAATTAAATTTTCAGGAAATTACTGGTGGCATATTGCCAAGAATGATGACAATTACTTGGTTTCCCGCAATTTATGTGGAGATATTTTCCTAAAGGCCAAAATGTTTGTCATTTATACAGGCAATTCACATGCTAATCATTTCTGCTGAACACAAAAGAAGATATTTTGAAGAATGTCGGTAACCAAACAGTTGATGGACCCCATTGACTTATAGTATTGACCATATAAGATATGATTGACCATACTATTTACTCAATGGGGCCCATTAACTGTTTACTCTGCTCTGATTGGTCAGATGGCCCAGTCTGTTGTGATTGGTCTACTCTGCTCTGATTGGTCAGATGGCCCAGTCTGTTGTGATTGGTCTACTCTGCTCTGATTGGTCAGATGGCCCATGTCTGTTGTGATTGGTCTACTCTGCTCTGATTGGTTAGATGGCCCAGTCTGTTGTGATTGGTCTACTCTGCTCTGATTGGTCAGATGGCCCAGTCTGTTGTGATTGGTCTACTCTGCTCTGATTGGTTAGATGGCCCAGTCTGTTGTGATTGGTCTACTTTGTTCTGATTGGTCAGGTGACCCAGTCTGTTGTGATTGGACTACAGCTCTGATTGGTCAGATGGCCCAGTCTGTTGTGATTGGTCTACTCTGCTCTGATTGGTCAGGTGACCCAGTCTGTTGTGATTGGACTACTCAGCTCTGATTGGTCAGATGAGCCAGTCTGTTGCAATTGGTCTACTCTCCTCTGATTGGTCAGATGGCCCAGTCTGTTGTGATTGGTCTACTCTGCTCTGATTGGTCAGATGAGCCAGTCTGTTGTAATTGGTCTACTCTGCTCTGATTGGTCAGATGGCCCAGTCTGTTGTGATTGGTCTACTCAGCTCTGATTGGTCAGATGGCCCAGTCTGTTGTAATTGGTCTACTCTGCTCTGATTGGTCAGATGACCCAGTCTGTTGTGATTGGACTACTCTGCTCTGATTGGTCAGATGGCCCAGTCTGTTGTGATTGGTCTACTCTGCTCTGATTGGTCAGATGAGCCAGTCTGTTGTAATTGGTCTACTCTGCTCTGATTGGTCAGATGGCCCAGTCTGTTGTAATTGGTCTACTCTGTTCTGATTGGTCAGATGACCCAGTCTGTTGTGATTGGTCTACTCTGCTCTGAATGGTCAGATGACACAGTCTGTTGTGATTGGTCTACTCTGCTCTGAATGGTCAGATGACCCAGTCTGTTGTGATTGGTCTACTCTGCTCTGAATGGTCAGATGACCCAGTCTGTTGTGATTGGTCTACTGCTTACAGCACGTGCTGGAAATTAAACGTCCATTACAATATCTGGATTTCATCTCCAAAGCTTCCTCAGCACTTGATACACTGTGATACCACAAATAAAAATTTTGAGAGCGGGTCAAAGTTGTTCGCGGGTAGCCAAAGAATAGGCTTCCATTATGCAAATTTGTTACAAACCTACATTATGTTTGTAACAGGAATTGAGACTGGAATTACTAACAACTCGTTCCAGGCAGTTTAGATTTGATTCTTTCTTTTGGGAGACAATAACTCCATTTGTTGTGCACTTTGATTTTGGAAACTTTGAAGACCTTTTACTTTCACCAAAATCTATATTACACACTACATGAAAGGTAATATCCGAAAAGGCACAATAGACGGTTCTGATGTTTGTAAAGAAGAATGTTGAAATGTGTTCATTTCAATAAAAATCAACAGCTGGGAAAAACGCCCAAAGTTAGAGAAACCCTGAGTGTGGCTCCATGTTTGTCTTCTGTATAAACTTGCACACTGCTGTTTTCCATAGAGGTGTGCGACCTTAAGATAAGAGCAGACTTCAGTCTTTAGACTAAATCGTTTTGTAGGAAATAAATTCTGTGACGTACAAGCAAAGAATTTGCTGGGGCCCCACTCTGTGCTCATGGGAACTGTTGGATTGATTAAAACGGGTCCTCTTTGAACTGTGCAACAATTTTCCTGTTTTTCAGAGAAAGTTTCCCCTCGGGAAACCAGTTCAGATGACTAAGAATGGGAATCGAGCTCGTTTTGAATAAATACTGTCTGGTTAGCACAGTGTCTGGGCGTAGCAGAACGCTGAAATGTTAGCATCAAAATTAATGGATCTTGACATAAGTATTTGGACAATTAAAATGAGAGCTTCGTATCCTCAAAAAGACAATAAAACAGAAGCAGTGATGGAAGAAATAACGATTTTAGGAGGAACATCTAGTTTCTCTTGAAAAAATCCTTTCCCCTGTAAATATTTGGATCTTTCTTGACAGCCCCCGTTTTTATAAAATATAAATATATGGAAATATGTACTATATAGTATATAAATATGTGTGTGTGTGTGTGTGTATTACAGTATGTTGACACAGTTGACAAATCAGTGCAGTCAAGACAAGTGTTAATGTCCAGAAGTCCTATCAAAATATTGTGAGTGAGTCTTTTGCTTTTCTTTCCTTGTTTACGTTTCCTTCGGGTATTTGAACAATCATGAGACTTACTCATCTGGTGTGTCTAGGTCACTACATTATGAAAGTTAACAACAGCAAAAAAAAAAAAAACCTTAAAGGGATAGTTCACCCCAAAAAAATGTGTCATCATTTACTCACCCTCATGTTGTTCCAAACCTGTAAGATTTTCTTTCTTCTGTTGAACAAAAAAGAAGATGAATTTAATTAGAAGACTAGAATTTAACGCACCCGTATGTTTTTTTTCCTACTATGGAAGTCAATGGATGCCATCAACTGTCTGTCGCTCGTAAAGACAGTCTTGTCGTCACCTACTGGCGTATCGATGTAACCTGCAGAAAGGGGTTTGGTGAGTGGTAGTTATAGTGATAATTACCTTAATCAGAACTCCTAATAAAGATATTGCTGCTTCTATTAAAGCACAGCTGTAGTCTTAATAAGCTGGCATTTGAGTCCGGGGTGAATCATTTATATAACTTCTGCTTGGAATTCTAAAAACCGGTCATTACTGCTAAAGTAAAGGAACACAGTGATCCTGTTAAACATAATTAAGATCCCACGGAGAGGTCAGAATGGATACCACAGTATTAAAATGGCCAAGGGCAGATGCCAAACAGTTTATTGGTCAGTTGGGGTCTAACAGAGGAGCCACAAACAGTCAGTCTCATTAGTGGTAACAGATGAACAGAGGTCATTTACATATATGGTGGAAGTCTTAAAAAGGCCCAGTATTCAACTGAATCTTCTAGAAGAGATGGAGTCTGGTTAGAGGAGTGGGAGGCATGGTTGGTCTTCTGGGACACGGGCTGTATTAATATTTGATATTCGTTTTTCCACTGTGTCCTGTGAAACGTGGCGGACCGTGACTGTGACTGGAGTCGTTGTGGCACGGGGACTCGGAGGACAAGCTGGCGGCCAATATTCACTTGCTGTATGTTCTCGGGAAAGGTCAATGTACAGCATACCTGAACTCCCTCAGAAAATGACCTCTGAATGTAAAACAAAATACATCAGAAGTGTAGCTTAATAGCAAATTATACCTGTTAAAATTGTACCCTTATATAGACTTCAATACAGAAACTATAAAAATCTATACCAGCTGAGTGTACCCAGATGAACGTTATAAACAGCCCAAACTCCCAGCTGGAGCTGCTGATTCGCTTCTTTACCCACATGTGCATGATCACAGTGCAACACTTCGCTATGAAACACAAAAGCACGTCAGACTTTATGTGTTCCCAAATGCACGTTATTGGAAACCCAAACAAACAGCACATGCAGAGACTGAGTTTGTGTGGAGCAGCGTTTGCTGTGAACGGAGCCGCTCTGAGCCGCTGCACCTGCACGCATGTAAAAAGAGAAAGCGCCGCGGTTTACTCTGAAACGCAGAGCACATATATTTATTTAATTGAATCGCAGACTTTGTGATTTCACAATAGCACTGTGCTGTATTATGATTTTTAAATGGTTATAATTTATCGTAAACCTTAGAAAATGGTGTAATATTGCGCCATTTCAGGTAGCCTATTTTGCCAGTAAATTGCAATCGAGAAATCAAATGTAATGAAGGAATCTTGACAGCCCTAATTGCGACTTTTTATCTCACTTATTACTCACTATTACTTTTTTTTTTGCAACTGTAACTTTATATCTCACAATACTGATTTTTTCCTCTCAATTGCAAGTTTATATCTCACAATTAAGATTTTTTTTCTCTCAATTGCGAGTTCATATCTCACAATTCAGAATTGTTGCTCTCAATTGCAAGTTTATATCTCATAATTCTGACTTTTTTCTCTCTCAATTGTGAGTTAATATCTCGCAGTTCTGACTTTTTCCCTCAGAATTGTGATATATAGCTAGTCCAAATTGCGAGATATGAACTTGCAATTCTGAAGAAAAAAGTCAGAATAATGATATAAAAGTCGAAATTACCTTTTATTTTTTTACGTAGTGTTGGAACATTGGACATCTTTTGTATTTTTATATTATTTTAATAGAATACAAATTTGTCAGATATGTCTCTTGTAGTCATAAATCCGTTGCTAAAGTCTGGTCTGTAAGAAGGGGTAACTCGCGGGCAGAATGTCCTGACTCGCCCTTGAAACTGTGCCCTGCTTCCACACACACACACACACACACATAAACCCCTGCTGCTGTGACCCCTGCTGAGAGAGTGAAGCTA